ATATATATATATATAAATTCAAAAATAAGAAAAACAAAGAATAGAACACTAAAAAAGAAAGATGAAAGATACAAGTGTTTCCTACTTGCATAACATATTAAGATAAAGAAATCACTACCCAAAAGAATGATAGAGGAAGGAAACCTGAGATGTCAATACCAATGATGGAGGGGTACATATATTACAACCTAACACCGTGACCGAAGACTCGTTCCCACTCGAGAACCACTGAAGGAGCCAAAGCCCTCATAACACTCAAATGAACCCCCGAATATCTCCTAATACAACACAATACCACCTATTTATAAACATTAAGGACTTCCATATTACAAGTATGTCATCCTTTAGAAAACACTTAAAAAACTAAACATAAAAAATTGATTTTTAACATATGAACAACACTTTTCTATATCACATAACTCGGATCACGACTGGATACTCCATTTCAATATTGCCAAGTTAACTAGGAGGTTGACCTTAGAAAGGAGTTATGAAGTTTCATACATATAGTCAATTTATGGACTAGCTTCTCGACAAATTTTTTTGAATATGTATCAATTATGGGCCAGACAAGAATACTCCATTCAACATGCATCTTAACCTTATTTTGTAATAATGATATTCATATATTTGATTAACTTATTCTAATAAATTAGATATTGCATAAGTTAATATTAATTATTTATAATCATAATCTAGCCTTGATTTTTTTATATGATGGAAAATAAATCTTAAAATATGACTAACTTACACAAAAAAAAAAAAAAATTAGTACCCTCAAACTCCTCAGCACCACCCACTATTTAGACATACATTGAGTCCCCAGCTGAAAGCAACACCTCTACTCATGCTACAGACACAACCTCATCAGTACCCCATATTAGTGGGGACCTTAACTAACATTTACCTTTTCCAACTTTAAATGTAATCCATCATAATTGAACTTTTTACTGATAATACCTATCCCGAATCCATCCCCTCCCCTACTTCTACAAGAACCAGTTCAATTTGGATAGTTTTATACTCCTCTCAAAACCATTAAAATCCAAATTAAACAAGGGACACACATGACTCCTCATCAAAGGTCAAAAACCAATAGAAAGACATCACAATTATCAAACTCTATAGATCCCCTATACTATTTCCCAACATTGTAGCATATAAAGTGAGGGGGGGACTTAAAAATAAATGTTAGATGTGAGTTTGTAAGATATTAATCTTGGACCATCAACTAGGCATACTTTATTTACTGAAAACAAAGATTGACAAAGACCCAACATTCGACCCCTTATTGCTTAAAAACATGACCTCATTCTCCCTTGAAAGTAGTTGCAAAAACTTCATTTATTGTTATGGTGGTATCAGTTGGATCAAATGGAAATTATTTTATCCTAGCACTATGGTTCTCTAATGATACAGGGGCTTACCGCTATCGCCACGTTACTAAAGTTGCTACAGTAATCGTGGTCCCTTTCATATATAATTTCCTTTCATAATTTAATTCCATTTTATATTTGATTCTCTTGCTCTAATTTCCCCCTTCCTAAGCCTTTCCTCCCTACTTGGACCACATTTTAAATTCTCGCCTTTCATGTCCATTCATCTTTAAATCATTGCCTATTTTCTCTACTTACCTCGTCAAGCCTCTACTCCCATCTTTTTATAATTTTTGGGTGCTTATTGAAAGAGGGGGAGTTTTCATGATTGCTTATTTTAGTTGCTACCTTCGAGGCGTTATTCCCTTCTAGGGCCTGTATCTAAGGGTGTGAAGGTGCTTCAGTTATAACTCGTCCAAGGTGGTGGCTGTCTCCATTGGGTTTAGGTGGCGCTCGACTGTAGCTTGACCCCAATGAGACATTTATCCTTCCGCGAACCCTTCCAACACGCTTCCAATAGGTGCAAACCACCTTTTGGCTATTGTCCAGACTACATCATCCCCCTTATGGCTGATGCCTTGCTCACGTCATCCCTCATCCAGGTGTTGCCCAGCCTCCCAGCTGCTGTCCAGGCTACCTCTTGCAGCTGCCCAGCCACTGACAAATGTTCTAGCTTTGGTCCAACCCTTCAAGGACACCACTTCCTACTGCCATCCAAACCACAACCCACTTCTGACGACTTCAACCCCTCCCCTCCATCCATCAGCCACCTTCCTGTCATCTTCAAGCAACCACAACCTTTCTCCTACAACAACTAGCCACCTTCCAGGCCTCTTTCAGCAACCACAACCATCTCCTAGTGGCCGTCCTTCCCTCCCGACATCTTTCCTTAGCCACAACAATCTTCCATAAGTTGCCAACAGACCGTATAACAACCTCCATCCCTATTTTCACCCACAGACATTCTTTATTCTTTATGTTATTTGCTCTGTTTGTCGTTATTTTCTGGTTTTCAAGTGTCATAGTTGTATTCTGTTTGATCAGAAATAATATTTGTGTTTCCCTTGTGGTTTGGGTTTCATCCGGTATAACATAATTTATACATAAGTGATTATTCTAGCGAGTCTAAAGTTATATTTTACATGTTTATGCAACTAAGGGTGCCAACAATAGGAAAATCCTCTAGTCTTCAATATTTGTATGTCCACTACCATTGACATAAATTTTTTGGTTATTGGGGATTTCAACTGTGTTCTTTCTTACTTGGATATATATGGGATAATCTCATTCCTTAATTCAAAATTATGATTTTTATGAGTGCATCTTTCAAGTAGGTCTCCTTGTGCTCCGTAGCACTAGTATATCCTTTATGTGGACTAATCTTCAACTTAATAATCCAAGTGAGAGTCTTCTGTAATTTGGAATGACTTGTCTGCTACCCTACTTTATTTTATAAGAT